TATAGACTTGGATCACATGTATGACCCCATTCAACTGGGACCTCTGGTACAACTGGGATGGCTTCTCTTCTGTGTCTGGCACCTCAGCTGGGGTTGGCCAGGCCTCTCTCTCCATCTGGGTCCCTCATCATTCAGTAGTCTAGCCCAAGCTGCTTTACGTAGTGCCTGGGTCCCAGCAGGAAGCTGCCAGGTCTTTTAAGGAGTAGGCCCAGATTTGGCACACAGTTGCTTCCACTGCATTCTTTTGGCCAAAGTCAGTTACAGAGCCAGCCCAGGTTCCAGGGGAGGAAAAATAGATTCTACTTTTTTCTTTTTTCCTTAAGATTGTAACTGTTTCTTCATTTGAGAGAGAGAGAGTGAGCACATGAGTGGGGAGAGGGGCAGAGAGAGCGAGAAGCAGACTCTCCACTGAGCAGGGAACATGATGTGGGACTCGATCCCAGGACCCTGGGATCATGACCTGAGCCAAAGGCAGACGCTCAACCGACTGAGCCACCCAGGCACCCCTAGATTCTACCTCTTGATGGGAGGAATTTTTGGTGTCTGTCTTTGTAGATAATCAACCAAAAACTCTTAAGTAAATTCAGGCATTACCTCTTCTTATACTCACCAGACCATCAGAGCTTTGCCGAAACCAATTGTTACTAAAGAAGAAGTTTATAAAAGGGTCCTTGTGACTCCTATGCAAGATCAAGGGCACGGAAGTTATGTGAGTAAATGTGATTATATACTAGTTATATAATAAATTCTACCTGCTGTGCCTGAAATCTCTTCTTATAGCCTTCTGCATGGAGTATTTCCTCATGGTACTTTACAGTCACAGACATCCACATTCCATTTATGTGGAAAGAACTCGATTTGACCATTGAACTGAAAGCACAAGAAAGGGTTAGTCCTGAAGCTTTCACTTTCAGTTACATCTGCAGAAAGGTGGGGATTTCTTCTCCATGAGCTGAGGAGAAATAGTGTGAGGATGTCGGTTGATCAGAGGGAGAGTCAAAGGGAGTACTGCTGCCAGCGAGACCGGAATGTCACTGGTGGCTTGTGGGAGTCCCTAGTACGGTAGTAAGTAAGGGGCCGGGTGTTCTCGTGTTCTTCGGCAGCCACAGACGTCGTATTTTGTCACACAGTGACACAGACACCTACGTCGTATTTTGTCACACAGTGACTTAACCTGTGCACCGACGTGTTTCTGTAGCTGTTCCACCAGGACTGAATGGAGGACTTCATACTAAGACCTCACTTTTGTTCTGTGGAATCTGTATCTCTTCTCCCCAAGCAACGTAATAGTCCTGAGTTTGTCCTCATAAAACAACTGTCAGATGTGTAGGATGGTGTGTGTGTGTGTCTGAGAGAGAGAGTGTGAGTGTGAAGAATGAGCTGCCGTAGCAAGCCTCATTGAGCTGATGGAGCTGCGGGTGAAACCAGGGCTCAGGAGGAAAATTCTTCATAAAGAACTCCAACGTGAGAGCTTCTGCCAGCTTTTAGTACGAAAACTGTCGTTTGCATTGCCTTTTTTTGAGCTTAACATTTTTTGACTTGTTTTATCACCTTGAGTCTATTTGTTCTTTGAGGTAGGCTGTGTTCCACATAACAGCACCATTAAAATAAATGACTATAATATAAACTGGACGCTGTTACACTGTTGGAAACATTCATGGGAGGAGGTAAAGGCATGAAATAGAGCAGGCAGAGTCCTCTGGGAATGCCAGTGAAATTTTCATGAAGAATTTGGAATATACTCAGTGGTCCTGCTTTAATTTCCTTAGTGTCTGTAATAGGGTATCTTCTTAGAAACCCAGTGTGCAGAGTGCATAACATGTATGCTGCTGTTTCCAACAACACAAGACGGTAATGCAGCATGGAAACCCCATCCTGGGTATCCTCCCTTCTCGGGCATATACGGAGTAAGTAGTATACCATCACTGGTATGATTCCGTATCCTGCATCTCATACATTTTTCGGAAATAGAAGAGACTTTTTGCTAGAAATTCTACTATAATCTCTACAATGCTGATTTCTTAAAAATCTTTGTGCTTGCCCTGTGGGCTGAAGTAATAGCAGCTTTCCAGCTAAAAGAAAACCTCTTTTCTGAACTGGCAGTGTTTCTTCAGAAAAGGAGACTATACTCTGCACTAAACCGAGTAGTCAGAGCATCGGTAGAGAAGTAGACTGCCAAACGAAAGAAGACAGCTGATAAAGGAGAGCCAGCATGAAGATGCCACACACTCGTGATCCTGCATATTGGAGGAAGTAAACACGAGTCCCAAAATACGTGTAGTGATTTGTTCAGTTCTCTGCTGAGTACTATAGGGATCGTGAAGACAGTTGAGATCACCAAGGAGCCAGGTTTCGGAGAGGGCAGTTGAAAACTACATACGAGAGGATACGTGGACAAGGCAGAAGGTAGTTAAGCACTGGTCTGAAGGAGAAAGGTTACTGAAGGGTGTGGAGAGGGTACAGAAATGGCTTTGGGGATGGCCCTCAAAAAATAGATTAGGCTTTAAACAGGAGACGATGGGGAAAAAGGTAGGAGCAAGAGGAATTTTGAGGACGTCCCAGGATGAAGACTGTCAAGGGCAGAGCTCAGCCCCACACATGGTGGGGAGGGCAGAGCACGGTCGCGGTCCGTTTGGTTGGAGCTGAGAAGACGGATGCCTGGGGAAGCAAAGCCATTTAGGGTAGGGCTTTTCCTGTCTTGCTGAGGAGTCTGTAGAAATCAGAAGTCGTGTGCCATCAGAACAGTGAGTGTGGCGCGTCATCTGGTCCGCGCTGGAGAACCTGGAGGCCCAGAAGGCAGTTCTTTTAGTGACTCAGTAGAAGGGGCTGAGCACTAAATGAAGTTGGTGGCTGTGGGAATGAAGGGCGGTTGCAGAGAATGATGCCAGATGGCTGTCTTCCTTGTTCTCCCAGGATGTGGTGACTAGTCCCGAAAGAAAACTACTTTCGCCCCTTGCAACCTGCGCTCACTCCTAACCTGCAGAGGTAAACAGTGAGATAATGCAGCAGCTGAACTCCAGTTCACATCGCATGAACTCCTGTCCTAGTTGAGCAGGTGCATTGTTTGCAGCCCTGAATTGAGAAATGTGTTCTTCGGGGACCTAGTCAGAAGGTGGTGAGGTTTCGGAACTTAAAAAAGACTGCGGAATCAGTTTGTTTTGTTTGAATTTTGGAGTTGCTGGAACTTCCTATTGCATTCGTGAAAAAAAAAAAAAAAAAAAACCCTCAATCTCCCTAGCGTTTATGGTGAGTGTTTAGGTATGATACGTTTCTGTAGCACAAGGGAAGAATTTATGCTAAAGTCTGGGTTAACCACACTTCAGTCCTGAAGAAATGCTTTATAGGAGGGGGAAGGCCGCTCACCCTGCTTACCCCTCGGCCGCAGAATTATCCCAGGCCGGTCACTCTCTGCAGCTGGAGGGGCTGAGAAAGGAACCACTGGCACCGTGGCCACGGCCTGTCTGGTCAAACAGATCATTGGAGGAGCTGTGTGGTTGAGATCGGGCTGGGATGAGCAGAAGCCTCTGAAATCCGCTCTCCTAGCGCGCCTCGTCCCTGTAATCGCACAGAACCCCTGTGCTGAGTTTCACACCAAACTCGCTACCCTCGCAGTTACATTCTAGATGCACTGGAATTACCTTGGCTTCAGCTAAGAGTGTTATGTACTCCCTGGGAGAGGGGGAGGACACCACAAACAGGTGGAGACCATTAGAATTCAAGCTGGACTCTGACGTTCCGCCTCCTCCCGCAAACGGGGAAAGGGGTGGACGAAGGATGAAGGGCCTGGCAACGCGCTCGCGGCCGCAAGGTGTTGCCCTTGGAACACGTGGTTGCCCTGGTCCTCTGGGTTTCCGTGTGTTTCCAGCTGTTACCAGGAGAGCAGTCTCCAGGTGGGCCGGGAGTCTGCCCTGTCGTTCGTAGTGGCATTGTGTCTTCAGTTAATGGTTTGAGTTGTTAAAGGAATTGGAGAGTGAAGCTGCTCCCGCTTAGCGTGCTGTCCCCTTTGTCTCGGTCCCCGTGCTGTGTCGTCGGTAGGCATACAGCACAGCAGGCTCGTGCGCGGAGCGGAAAGCCACCTGGCAGCATGCAAATGAGACTGAACCATGTGTTCCTAATAGCCTTGCAGAAATCTTGTGTTTGGAATCTGTGAGCTTGAGATCTGACCGGAGTGTGGCCCGCTCCACAGCGGAAGCAAGTGCTGCTTGACGTCTGTGGCATCGGTCCCTTTGTCATGTGCCCCACCAGTCCAGACTCCCTAGTGTTGCTGCAGTACCAGGTTTCTTTCATTTCCTGGTCATGTTCTACTAATAGCCAGGGGGATAGGGCTAGGTTTTTCCTTAATTTATCTAGATTTGATTATCCCTATTTTACAGGGATTTTCATTTTGAAAAATAATTAGTGGAAAACTGATGAAGTAGAGCTGTGTGTGGGGGTGTTGTATATAAACACGTGAGCAGCACGCGAGGCGCTCCCGGGGTGGCTGGGGGTTGGGATTCGGAGGAGTTACTGCTGTCCTCTGGATCCTCCGTGGCATTTTTAGAAGTTCCTGACTTAAAACATGTCATAAAACTTACATTTAGAGAAGATAAGAACTGGAAAAGTTTCCAAATACTGGTGGTTTTAGATGGTTAAAAGTCCTGTATGGATTTTGGAAGGTAAAAATGAAAGTGAAGGAGTTAGGCGTCTCTTCATGTTGCTTTTGTCATGCTCTTTCTCCTCACCGTGTTGGTGTTCTATTCTGGAATTTGTAGCCAGTCCAGGGCCTCCTGGCTGACACTGCACCCTATTGAAACAGGAGTATTTGCTTTAAATTTTTCCTTGTACCTGGTTCTCACCTATGAAGTCCTTCCCCACGCTGGTTTGTTTTAAACTATTGGGTCCTCTCAAGTATGGGATTAGCAAGGATAAAAGAGTGAGTAAGATGTTGGAGGTTTGCAGAAGATTCGGGGTGGAAGGGACGGAATCTTTGACTGAACGTTGCTCTGTGCTTGGGCTTGCAGGCGTTGTGGGAGGCGCTCCAGTGAAGAAATGGACCAGTGCGCGTAAGCATGGACTCTCCTTGCTGACCGTCACCACCTGCTCTCCTTGCTAAGTGAGAGAGAGTGGGTCAGGGGAGAAGGAAAAGAGGTCAACATGAAGCTAAAGCAGCGAGTCGTGCTGTTAGCGATTCTTCTTGTCATCTTTATCTTCACCAAAGTTTTCCTGATTGACAACCTGGACACATCAGCCGCAAACCGAGAGGACCAGAGGGCTTTCCACAGAATGATGGCTGGCTTGAGGGTGGAGCTGGTGCCCAAGCTGGACCACACCTTGCAGTCCCCCTGGGAGATTGCGGCCCAGTGGGTGGTTCCCCGGGAAGTGTACCCAGAAGAGACACCAGAGCTGGGGGCAATCATGCATGCCATGGCCACCAAGAAAATCATTAAAGCTGACGTGGGTTATAAAGGGACACAACTGAAAGCCTTACTGATACTTGAAGGAGGACAGAAAGTCGTCTTCAAGCCTAAGCGGTAAGTCTTCATCTTGGGAGTCCTCTGGGCTAGTTGGTTGATTCACCTAGCTTGTAATTTATCTAAGCCTGTTCTTCTCCTTCTCTTGGTATTCTCCTCAGTAAAATGAGGGGAGTAAACCACAAGATCTCTGAAGTCTTTTCTAGCTCCTGCTGTTCCATGATTCTTCGAGTAGGGGAAATTTATAAGAACGTGTCTTGGTTCTGTACAAGACTGCACAGAGCTCTCCTCGCTTTCTAAATGTATCACACTTGTGCTTTGTGCCAGTTGTGAGAGATACAAAATGAATTGGTTAGGAAATAAGTGACTTGTCACCAAAAGTGTGCAGTTGGAGGCTGGATAAGTAACCACATGCCAGGGATAGAGCAGGAGCTCGCCAGAGCGGGAGTGGGTTCGGACAGTGACTGAAGTCCCTTTGAAGTACTAAAGCCGCGATTCTTTCACACGGGTTTTGTTCCAATTAATAAACCTTATTTTTTGGAGCAGTTTTAGGTTTCCAGAAAAATCGAGAGGAAAGTATAGAGGTCCCCCCATCTACCCCCAGGGTCCCCATTATTAACATCTTCTGTTAGTGTGGCACGTTTGTTACAGTCGATGGGCCAGTACTAGTTTATTAACTAAAGTTCATTGTTTGCAGTAAGGGTCACGCTTTGTATGGTACATTCTGTGGATTTCGATAAACACGTAATGACAAGTATCTACCATTACGATATCCTACAAAACAGCTTCCCTGCCCTAAAAATACCCCGTGTTCCACTTCCTCATCCCTCTGTCCCTCCCCTAAACCCCTGGCAACCACTGATCTTCTACTGTCTCCATAGTTTAGCCTTCTCCAGAGGGCTATATAATTGGAATCATACCGTCGTGGCCTCTTCGAATTGGCTCCTCTCACTTAGCAATAATGCTTTTACGTTTCCTCCATGTCTTTGTGTGGATTGAGGCTCATTTCTTTTTATTACTGAATAATATTCCATTGTCTGGATGTACCACATTTTGTTTATCCATTAACCTGCTGAAGGACATCTTAGTTTGCTTCCACATTTGGGCATTTACGAATAAAGCTGCTATAAACATTCAGGTGCACATTTTTTGTAGATGAAAGTTTTCAACTCATTTGGTTAAATACCAAGGAGCATGATTGCTGGATCATATGGTGAGAGTGTGCTTAATTTTGAAAGAAATTGCCAAACTGTCTTCCAGAGTAGCTGTACTGCTTTACATTCCCACCAGCAGTGAATGGGAGTTCCGTTACTCCACATCCTCACCAGCATTTGGTGTTGTCAGTGTTTTGGATTTTAGCCATTCTGATAGATGCGTAGTGATGCCTCATTGTTGTTCTACCTGTTTTGAGGAGAAAACTGAACCATTTTAGTTACCTCAGTCCAAAATCCAAGAAAATGAGCTGAATTGTATATTGTTAGACAGTGATCCCTTGGGGACTTCTCTAAGGCTCTACAGAGATCATTTGTTTGGCAATTTTTTAAATAGTTTTCTGTGAGTATATGAATTTGAAATAGGTTAACATGATGGTGATTCATATTCTTTTGCCAGGAATTATTTACCAGTGAATTTTCTCAAAGTTGGTAATGTCTGAAATTTTCTGTGTACTAAACATTTTTTTCATTCCCTAATAGAGCTTTTGAGAGAATTAGAACACATATCTTTGGGTCTCTTGCTGGGGTGGGAGAAGAAATATGGGGTAAAGATGTACAAAATTCAACTGTGATGAAAGTGGTTAGCTTAGCTGTCTTCACAGCCCTACCATCAGTAGATGATTGGCAGTGGGAAAACAAATCTGTTGGGATCCTAGAACGGGAAGAAGTCTGCATTTGCCTGGACCTGGGAGGTGTGATATACAGAAGATATGGAAATTAGGAAAGTTAAATATACAGTATGCTTTTGGAGAGTAGAAAAGTTTGATTGGCAGGTGATGTGGAAAAAGTGTGGCTATGTGGGCCTTGCGATATATTTTCCACTGGACACACACCGTTCGCCAGGCACCACACTAAGTGCTTTGTCTCTGTCCGTGCTTCCAGCCTCCATCACAGCTGAGGGCAGTTACACCTCTTGTGTCTAGAGTAAGAAACTGAGGCTGAGGGAGAATAACCAACTGGACAGGGTTATCCTGCCATGAGTGGCGTTAGGATCGGAGTCTGAGCGGCCAGTGTTCTGCCACACACGTGTAATTCTCTTCGGTTTGTCTGCCTTCCCATAAGTGTGAGGACATGCAGCACCCATCATCAGAAGTCGCTAGTTTAGTCTTGAAATGTAGTCCTTGACCTTGGTTGGTGGGCCTGGGTGAGCAGCAGCATGAGCAGAGTGATGGAAAGAAGGCAGACGAGAAACAGAAATGAAATTCACGTACAGAGATGAGTTGTGGGCATTTCGTGTTTCAAGAAGAGGATGTCCCCTGCAGAAGCACCATCTCTGCGGGCCAGCAGGAGGCGTCAGAAGGCAGGTACTCCGGGTAGTGCACCTGTCAGGCCTAGTCCAGGCGCTTGGCAGGTGGCGCGGGGTCTTCGGACCAGGTAAAGGTGGAGGGCGGGAGGCCCAGGAGGTGGAGAGCAGGTGCAGCAGAAAACTGTACAGACCAACCCGGTCACTGTAGCTTCATCTCCTGTCTCTTTCCACCACCACATCCGTCCCCGTACCTTCCTCTCCCACACCCTCCTGTGGACCCTGTTCGTTCCCCCTCCATGTGCCCATGTGAGCCCTGGGTTCCCAGCTTGAAAACATCCAGGGACCTCGTGATGCTCACTGGACAGAACTCAGCCTCCACAGCCTCATGGTCCACCCCTGACAGTCTGGTCCTCCGTTCCACACTCTGCTCTCGATTCCTGTCCCGTTGGTCCCTGCTCCCCCCATCCCCATGTCACTCCCAGCCCCAGGGGACTGTCCTGCCCCACCACCACCCCCGCAGCTGCAGTGGGGGGGGGTCGCCCTCTTGGTCACGGCCCCTGGTGACCTGCGCTGGATACACCCGGCACCGTCACTGTCTGTGGGGGGAGGGGGGTCCACATTTCAGTGCTTGTAGAAATTGACTCTGGCCCCGAGACGCCCAGCAAATTGCTATTCTGACCCTGGGGGCCTCCGAGGCTATTTAGTTCCAGTGTAAGCACAAATTAATGTCCTTGGTCAGATGCTGATGTCCTTCACCAGAAGGATAGGAGTGATTTATTGGCAGTTACTATATGAATTTTGCTGCTCTGTCAATGACTTAAGATGGATCACTCTCTGCTGAGAGGAGGCTCTGCGCCCCAGCTGCTGAGACGGCACGTGCACCCCTCTCTACGAGCCGCTCATGGTTTCTGGGCTTCTGGAGCCCCGATGGCCATGTCCTCCTGTCAAAGATAGGAGACGTGCATGGTGGGTGGGATTTATGGGCAGACAGTGATGCTTTTATTTGCATGTTTTTTGCCTTACGTTAGAGAAGTGATTTTTTTTTTCCCTCAGTGTAGCTGTCGGCGTTCTGGAGGTAGATGGGCTTTCACAGGCCAAGACTAGTTATGGTGGGAAGACAGCAAGATAGCAGTTTAGGCCTCAGAGGGGGAGAAGTAAGGGAGTGATCCTAGGATGTGCTAGAAGGGACCTTAGAGATTTGTCCGGCCGGGCCAGCTGCTCCTTTGAGCGGTGAGACACAGAGTTGGGACTCACCACAGTTCACACAGCCCACAGGGAGCCAGGGAGGCCGCAGCTCTTGGGTTCTTATTCCTTCCCTCTTCTTTCCCTCCCTCCCCCTCCAGGCCACCCCCAACATCCCTGGATTCCTGTAGGGTTTAACATTTCACCCTGAGCCGCCTTTTGGGGTATTGGAAAGCTCTTGAACGTTTCACTGGAAGGAGTGGACTGCACAGTGCACACATGTCCCTGTGGCTCCGCTGGAGCCCCGGCACAGAAAGTGTTCCAGGACTGTCCCCCAGCTCTGCGGACAGCCTACAGCTGTGTTGGACAGAGATGCGCTTGAATGGTGTCTGCTTTTGCTGCAGTTCTATTTAAAAATTGAGGCTTTATCAGGAGGCAACCAGTGGAATCCTAGGTAGTCTGAATAATACTTTGACACTAGAAATGAGAAACGGTGTTGGAGTGTACCGACCATGCTAAGAAGAAACTGGCCTCCCAACCAGGGGGTGACGCACATCTGTCTTCCAACAGAAGTGTTCTGTCACTTTGCCTTGATAATGTGTTTTGTGGGCATAGTTTGTTTCACTTTTGACTCCAAGGTCATTTACAGCGAAGCTCACAGCCTTTGACAGCACCGTCGCCCACTTCCCCGGTCCACGTGTCCCCAGTGGAGCAGCTCCTCTTCCTCCAGCCTCCATTCATTTCTATTTTACTCTTGCCTGGAAAGCGTAATAGGTCTTTTGATTCAGGGAAATGCAGGCAAATAGTAGCGGTCATAGGCAGCTTTAGTGTCTTCTTTCTTCCCAATTAACCATTAAATGGTATCTTTCTTTATGATTGGTAGAAAGAAATATGCCAGTTTTGATTATCTTTTGTTGATGTCATGCATGTGATGGAAAAATCATCAGAGTGGAGTTTAAGATGAAAGAGATCTTGGAAATTGCCCCCTAGTCCAGCCTCTAGTATGTTATAGAAGAAGAATCTAAGACCCAGAGAAGAGAACGGTTTTGCTCAAGGTTACCCAGACAGGTGATGACAGAACTATATGCCTAGCTTCCCTGCCAGTCCGGGATCCCTGCCACTACAGCATCGTAAATGTAAATAGAGAAAAAGAGGATGGTTTGTCAAACAGCTTTTTTCAAATGCACCTTTGCCTACTCATTAAACAAACACTGAGGTATATCACGACCGTTTATTTCCAAGAAATTTAAACTTCTCATAAGCCTTGCCATAGCCATTCTGGTAACACAGACATTTTGATTATAGGGTTCCCTTCATTTCTTCAGTTCAGTCTAATAAAAATGGTAGCAAACATTCATTAAGCACCAACTGTAGGCTTAACATCATGGTAGAGATTCAGAGATAGTCCTTGCCTTCCAGAAAATGACCTTTAAGTTTTATTTAGACTACATGGAAAGTCTTTTAGAGGGGTAGAAATAACGTCTTGTGTGTTCTATTCATAGAGTGACTGTGAAGCAGATAGAGAAATCTAGGTTCCTTCTCCACTTCTTCGTTACCCCCACTTCCAGATTCGTCCGAATCCACAGCCGCGCTCGGCTTTGGCAGGGAAGGCGTCCATAGGGCGGAGTCAGGCGTGCTTACGTTCTGCTGTGCTGTCCCGTGCGGTGCCGATGTAATTCACGTCTCCATCTGTGCTTCCCGTTCACTTTGCAGGTATAACCGAGACTATGTGGTAGAAGGGGAGCCATATGCTGGTTATGATAGACACAATGCAGAGGTAGCAGCCTTTCATTTGGACAGGTATGTGTCATCCTGGAGGGTTACTTTGCTTTGTTTCCATTTAAAAACATCTTGGAGAGGACTTGTGGACTCATTCCAAAGGGAGCAACTCTAATAACTTTGACTTGGTACCTACTCGAGGTAGCTGATTGACGGATTCCATTAAAGTCGCACAAGTCCTTTGTAATCTGGGTGGTTCTCGGAAAACCTGAGTAAATATCTTCACTCTACACTTTTCAAGATCATTTCCTTCTGGCATGCCCTCTGGCAACATGAGTGAAGATATTCTTGGTAAAGAAAATGGCAGGATGAAAACCAGAGCTGGAATTCAAGTCCCTAAACTGAAATGATCGTTAATTGGGCCTGACAGTACTGGTTTTTTTGTTTTGCTTTATTTTTGTTTTAAGTAAGTAATACTCACTTATCCTAGAAGCATACAGCATGACATATATAATGAATTTTATTATCCTTCACACAGGAGATGCTTGGCTTTAGTAACCAGAATAATTCCAAAAGCAAAACGGATATAAATTCAAAATATGTAAGCTAACTAGGAAAGTTAGTATTTTCTCAGCACAGGGCTCGCCGAGAGCCTGGTAACTGGAGTGTCTGGTAGCTTGCTTGCCCTTCTGAGCAGCTCCTTTGTCCAGGCATACTGACAAACTTCAAAAGAATTATTCACAATAGTTGTTAAATGAATACATAAAGGAAACCAGAAGAAAATAAAGGTGATTTTTTTTCTTTTTCTGGATTAGGAAGGATTTTCTAGGCATAAAAGCAATAATTGAAAAATTGCAAAGAAAAAGCTATTCCAGCAGACAGAGCTAAATACAATTAACTCCAATGTCAGGGAACATCAAATGAAATTTGAAAGCAAAGTAAGAGAAAATACGTGAATCTAATGTAATCCAAGCATTAACAACCTTAATATATAAATGTTTATACAAATCTGTATATATGCTAAAACTTTAATAGAAAATGATCTAAGGGCACAGTTGACTAAATAGAAATCATCAATTGCTAATAAATATGGCGGGCGGGGGTTCATCCTCACCAGGAATAACAACAACAAATCCATTTGAAACAACGGATACTATTTTCTTCTGCTGAGAATGGCCAGATTTAAAAAAAAAAAAAAAAAAAAAAAGGTAGTACTATATTGGAAGGAATGCAGTGAGATTTGGATGCAGCTTGTGGCATTATTAATCAGTTCCATCTTTCTTTTTAAGAACTCTGGCATTATATATTGGAAACCTGAATGCTCCTGGCCTTTGGATGAGTAACTACCTTTTTACGCCAATATCTAAGATATTTTTAAGAATGTATTTCTAGGAAGTACCTGGAGAAATAATGGAATTCAGAGTTAACATATATCCAGGATCTTAGCCGTAGCGTGAAATTTTCAGTAGTGAAAAACTAGTGGCAGTCTAAATATCCAGTGATAGTGGAAAAGGTTAAAAAAATGTTCACAATACCATGAGTTTTTCACTGCCTCTTTTTAAGACATAGCGGTAGAGAATTGGGTAAATCTTGTTCCTCACTTAAAGGCCTGCTAGCATCAGTCTTTCCAAGAGCTCATTTATTTCCTCGTTTTCTTCATTCCCAACCTGATGTCCCAGTTGACAGACACCAGCAGCATGTGAAGATCGTTTTCCCCTACCAATACCAATATTTCATATACCAGTATTTCATCCAACTCATGAATTTGTGTACATCTAAGATATGTAAAGGGGTACCTCATTGTTAGTGATTTTTGGTTTTCCGCAGTCATTATTAGCAAAATTTAACATGTCCGTATCTTTTCACACCACAACACCTATTCATTAACTTAGAGTGAAGTAGTCTTTGTACAGAAATCACTCCCTTTGATGTTAATTAAATCTACTAATGTTTCAGATCGTGATCTGTGCTCTGGGAGGTCTGCGTTTCAAAGGGAAGCGTACCTCAGAGTCTGAAAGTTCTTCTCTAGCCAGGCCCCCTACCCCTTTTGTTAACTGCCACCCCAGCCAGGCTCACATGCCCCCCTCAACATGGCCCCTTGGCACTTGACTGGCTGCTAGTGGTTGGCCTGGTGGTGGTCAGTGGAGAAAAAGGACCTCCCTGCTCTCTTTACCAGCCACGGCTCCTGCTCCTTTTCTGCTCTTGGGTTGCTGTTTCGCCATTACATGGGGATTTAACCACCTTGTCTGACCACAGGAGGCTTTCTCAGTCTTTATGTTATTTTGACCCATCTGTTGATCTACTTTTGTGGCTTTTCGAAGATTGAGTTTAAGACCGTCAGCAGCCCTGAACAATGCATTACTCCTTTATGTAGCTGTCTGGAAAGGTTTTATTACGACATGAGGAAGGGCTCATAATGAGTGAAAAGCAGGATACCCAACTGTGTTTGTATAATCTCAACTGTGTATCTATACACAAGAGTGTGTGTGTGTTTACATACATGTGTAAAGGAAAAAAATGCTCGTATACCAAAATGACAGTAGTTATTTCTGGGCTGTGCAGTTATGGATGATCTTTATTTTCTTCATTGTAACTTCTGTGTGGTCCAAATCCTGCCCCCTCCAACGTTTCTTCAGTGAGTGTATTTTTTAGCCAGGAAATTTCATTTTTTAAAAAATGATTTTGCTCAACCATTAGGTTGATCTTTTAGACCATTAGAGAGAAGCATCTTCAAATATATCTGTATTTAGTTGTTCCCTGGGTTTATCTTTTTAGATTAATCTGTATAGTTTTTGGCCAATGTGCTGTTTGATCCAAAGCTTTGAACACATGTATGGGTTTAAACCCGTTTTTTTAATGCTTTGTTGAAATTTGTTTAAAAGTTTTACTATGAAAAATTTCTAACGAATTAAAATAGTTTAATGAATCCATATACCCATTCCCCAAGTTTAGCAGTTGCTCTCATTTTGCTAGATTTGCCTCATCCTTTTTGCTGAAGTGCATATTAAAATATATTACATACATCTTGATGGCTTAGTCAGTAGAGCATGGGACTTGTGATCTCAGGGTTGTGAGTTCAAGCCCCACACTGGGGTAGAGATTACTTAAAAAAATATATATTTAAAACACATATAAATAGAAATATACATATATATACCTACCAATCAGCAGTATATTTTCTTTATAAAATACAGCCCCCAAAGATTTTTCTCTTCTGTTCTTCAACCTCCCAAACCAGGATTCTGGGTTTCCGTCGCGCCCCCTTGGTGGTTGGCAGATTTGTTAATCTACGGACAGAGATCAAGCCCGTTGCCACGGAGCAGCTCTTGAGCACCTTCCTAACCGTAGGTAAGATTATAGAGGACATTTAAATAGGGGAGTAGTTAATAAGTTAAGTGGGACATCATTGAGTAAGCTGGTTTGTGACTTTTAAGAATTGAAGAACTCAAGGGAATACAAAAACATATTGGGCCACTTGTTTTTAGGCTAGTGGGGGATATGGATCCTAACGGTAGGTAGGTGGCCAGAAAGTGAGAGTTTTCTCTGACATGTACTTGGCTGTGTGAAGGTAGGAAGTGAGGTCATTTACTGATAGTGTAAGTAGGTAATTACTTTGTTTCCTTCTGCCTGATCTTTTTTTTTTTTTTTTTTTAATGTTTTATTAATTTAAGAGAGAACACAAGCTCGAATGGGGGGACTGCCCGATGAGCAGGGAGCCCGATGCAGGGCTCGATCCCAGGACCTTGGGGTCATGACCTGAGCCAAAGGCAGCTGCTTAACCAACTGAGCCCCCCAGGTGCCTCCTCTTCTGCCTGATCCTAAAGTAAATCTCAGATTCAGATTTTGGCCTAAATCCGTTACTGTGTGTGTATCTTTGACTTGGTGGCTCTTTCATATACATGTACTTTCTTGGGAACTGTCTCCTTAGAATTGAGGGAACTATAAGGCAGCTCTGAAAGAGGGTCAGAAATGCCCTTGGAAGGTTGGCTTTGGGCCTGGAAGATGACCACTGCCTTCTAACCCGCAAGGGTCAGCCTGTAACCCACTGTGCATGGACTTGACTCTGGTCCCTGGCCTCTGTGCTCTGTTCTCTCACTCTGAGGTCAGGCATCTGAGCTAACATTCTCACTCCTGTTCCGCTCGTGGGCACGGTGAGAATGGGAAGAAGTCAGAGGTGCCATGGTCTCTTGTCTCAGTCTCATCGTGGTGACATTCTCAATGACACGGTGCTCCACGTTACGATATGACCATTGAAACAGACATTGCCAGATGAATTTCACCTTGCTTTGCTAGAATGAATGGATTTATATTTGAAATGAGGTGAAATTGAATATTTTTTTTTAAGATTTCATTTATTTATTTGGCAGAGATCACAAGTAGGCAGAGAGGCAGGCAGAGAGGAGGAAGCAGGCTCCCTGCTGAGCAGAGAGCTCGATGCGGGGCTTGATCCCAGGACCCTGGGATCATGACCTGAGCCGAAGGCAGAGGCTTTAACCCATTGAAATGGGATATTTAAAGGACTTGTGACGGAGTCATCTTTCAGAATTTAAACCTACAGGGCTAAGGCTTAAGCTGTTCTTACAAATAACCCAAAGTGGACAGTGTCAGTGATGTGTTTCATGTGTTTTCTAATCACTTTTGCTGGTCCAATTCTGTGCTCTGGCAGATACGAATTCCTGATGGATGAGAGGAGGTCAAGAAGAGTAGACCAGGGCCCCTGCTCTCTGGAGACTCACAGGTTGACTCTCCTACGTAGTGCCAAGTGTGGGGGACGGAGAGGCCAGGATAAAGTTTGTAGAGGAGGCTATTAGCAGCTAGACTGAGTATTGAAGAATCAGTAAGAGCTACCCCGGGGGCAAAAGGAAAGGGCATGAGGCAAAATAATAGGAAGTCATCATGGGAACGAGGGCCTAAAGACCTGGAAGTACACAGGAGTGGTGCCTTTGAGGAATGAGCTTCTGGATACAGCCTGCAGCACAGGGCAGTGTTTAAGTGTGGGCTGCCATCACAAGACGTCATGGATGGTGTGGCTTAAACAGTAGAGACTTATTCCTCACAGTTCTGGAGGTGGGGTATGGGGTCAGGGTTCCAGCATGCTTGGGTTCTGGTGAGGACCCTCTTCCTGGTTTGTAGTCAGCTACTGTCTTGCTATGTCTTGCAGAGAGTCCTTCTTAGAAGGACACTAATCCCAACATGAGTGCTCCCTTCAAAAGTCCCACCTCTAGATACCACCACACTGGGATTAAGGGCTCAACATCTGAATTTGGGGGTATACAAAAATTCAGGCAGATAGAGGGATCGCACTGGAGATAGGTTTTAAATAATGAGCTGACCTTAGCAGTTTTGGTTTTTTTTTTTTTTTTTTAAGATTTTATTTATTTATTTGACAGACAGAGATCACAAGTAGGCAGAGAGGCAGAGAGAGAGAGGGGGACTCGGCTCCCCGCCAAGCAGAGAGCCCGATGCGGGGCTCAATCCCAGGACCCTGAGATCATGACCTGAGCTGAAGGCAGAGGCTTAACCCACTGAGCCATCCAGGTGCCCCATCAGTTTTTAAAAATATTAGATAACTTGATATAACAACCAAATTCTGCGTAACCCTTGCAACTTGACAAAGCACTTTCATACAGTTACCTTATGTTGATCCTCTTGCAAAAGAGTGCAGTGAGTAAGGGAGATTTACCCACGTAAATCAGCTCAGAAGAGTTGGAGGACTTTCCTGAGTCATGTAGCTACTCTTAGCCAGGATTCAGACCTGGATTTTCAGACTATCTATATTTCATCTGCTAATATTCTTTCAACACAATTTTATTTCCCTTCTGTGTGGTGGGCTCTGAACTATCTAGAAATGAATGACACCTCCCTGCCCTCAAGGAGCTTCATTTGATGGGGAAGCCAGACATGTACAGAGGGCCTGTGGCGGCATGGACAGAAAGGGGTGATGTGCAGGTCAAGGGTGATGGTTCCTTGGTGAAGGTGGCGTTTCATCCAGGTCTTAAAGGGAGAGTAGCACTCCCTCAGGGAGGTACAGTGGGAAAGAACATCCTAGGTGTTGAGACTTTCAACCTTTTTTGTACTATAGACTCTTGGCATGCTGGAGAAGCTTGGGGATCTTTCCTCAGAATAGTGTTTTTTAGGGGCACCTGGGTGGCTCAGTTAGTTGAACAACTGCCTTCGGCTCAGGTCATGAACCTGGAGTCCTGGGATCGAGTCCCGCATTGGGCTCCCTGCTCGGTGGGGAGTCTGCTCTTCCTCTGACCTCTCTACTCTCACTCACTCTCTCTCAAATAAATAAAATTAAAAAAAAAAAAAAAGAATAATGTTTTTTAGGGGCGCCTGGGTGGCTCAGTGGGTTAAGCCTTTGCCTTCAGTTCAGGTCCTGATCTCAGTGTCCTGAGAGCGAGCCCCGCATCAGGCTTTCTGCTCAGCAGGGAGCCTGCTTACCCCTCTCTTCCTGCCTGCCTCTCTGCCTACTTGTGATCTCTGTCTCTGTCAAATAAATAAATAAAATCTTTAAAAAAAAAAAAAAAGACTAGTGTTTTTTAAAGGCACACATTCAAATACATAGACTTACAAATGAAATCAATAATATTGAAATCTAGTTTCGTTATCAAAAATTCGGAGTTTGCAATCTATAAGCTTGTGCTTCATTATTATTTAACACATTAAATAACAGTTCTAGCAGTGATCCAGTAATTGTCATAATTTCAGACAGTATAAATGATACTTTGCAACAATGGTTGATATGATATGAAAAGTCTGTGGTTTCTTCTGGTGAAAGAGTCACAGGTAATACTAATACCGCCATGGTTTGCTTCCTATTGTCATAATTGAAGGAACACTAAGTTTCACATAAAAGTTAATGAAAATAAAGGGGCGCCTGGGTGACTCAGGTAAGCATCTGACTCTTGGTTTCAGCTCAGGTCGTGATCTCAGGGTTGTAGGATTGAGTCCCATGTCAGGTCCCACATTCAGTGCAGAATCAGCTTAAGACTCTCTCTCCTTGCTCTGCCCTTCTCCCGGCTCCTGCATGCGCCTGCGTGTGCTCTCTTTCTCAACTAAATAAATCTTTAAAATAAAACAGTTGTTAATGAAAATAATGTGACTTTGTTCCCAGCCAGTGCACAGGCTCCTGAGTCAAGTCTGCTTCAGGTGGAGGACAGCGCGTAGACAGGGGTGACGAGAAGCAAGAGAAGCCTGTGGGAAGCTCAGGGGAGTTGAGCCCCAGTGAAGGGAGGCTCGGGGCGGGTGAAAGAGAAAGGCAGGTGGTCAGGACGGTGTCCACCGGGCCTCGTGCACCAGGCTTAGAAGTGGAGACCTTTTCCTTAGACACTGGGAGGCCATTAAAAGAGCTGGAGCGGGGCACCTGGGTGGCTCAGTGGTTTAAGCCTCTGCCTTTGGCTCAGGTCATGATCCCGGGTTCCTGGGATCGAGCCCCGCATCGGGCTCTCTGCTCAGCAGGGAGCCTGTTTCCCTTCCTCTCTCTCTGCCTGCTTGTGATCTCTCTCTGTCAAATAAATAAATAAAAATCTTTAAAAAAAAAAAAAAAAAAAGAGCTGGAGCGTGGTAAAACCAGATTGGAATTTTGGAAAACCAGCCACGGCAGTGTCGTGGAGGCTGCACTGGGACGGGGGTGGGGTGAGAGCTGGGAGCACATGGTGGCCGCCGTACTCCGCGCATGTACAGGGCGAGTCATAGCTCGAGCACAGGCAGCGGGTAGGAAGCGTTAAGGGACACTCAGCAATTAGAATGGAATGAATTTGGTGAACATTTGGGCTGAGTGGGACAACTGAGAGAGAAGGAAAAAATTAAGAATGACTCCCAGTTCCTGAATTGGATGACTCAGTGTATTACAAAGCTGTCAGCTGTCTTAGGAATGTAGGAAGAGGAGGAAGATCATGAATCAAATTTTAGACACTTTGTTTTCTTGTGTGAAATAACAAGAAAGATATATACCGGTCTCTGCCCCCGGTGCCTGACGGAGAGCTCAGAAAACCCTGGTAAATTCCTAAGCCGTAAGAGCACGGGGAGGATCTCTTGTTCTAATGAGGAGGCTCTGTGTGGGCTGGTCACCAGAACGACAAGCCGTAGCTGGAAGCCTGGAATTCTCAGCTCCCCGCCCGCCATTTTCCAGGGAGGGGAGAGGGATTGAGAATAGAGTTAATAATAAATCGTGCCTACTGGAGAAAGCCTCCATAAAAATCCCAATAGCATGGGGTTTGGGAGTTTCCAGGTTGGTGAAGCAGGATGCTTCCATGTGCCACCAGCCAGGCCCCAAACTCAATGAGGACAGAAGCTCATTGGTCTGAGACCTTGTCCTGTGTATGTCTTCACTGGGGCTTTTGATA